TGATCCGGAAAACACTTGTGAGTTGTTTCGGGATGCACGCCGTCGAAGGGTTACTCGGCGGCAAGAACAACTGTGTAATTATAGGAGATAATTATGCTCAGCTGATGCTTATTAAGATCCTCTCCTGATTATAAAAGAGACTGCTTGTGCCACGCCCTTTTGCAGAAGTCACCGGTCACGATTAAGAGAAACCAACTTGGCAAATTGGATTGCTGTGAGAGCTTGTTTGCATTGCTGCCTAGGTTTGTAGGACTTGCTGCCAGAGTGCTTATCTCTTTGTTTATTTTGGGCTTGCAGCCAACGAGAGTCTGGACTGATTAAAAAAATATTCTCATTTACGTTTGTTTTGGCTTTCGTTCCTGGACAGAGGAGGGGGGTTAGAACAGTTTCCATGCTTTTGGGTGGACTAGAACCTAATTCTCCAACCCCTTAACCTTTGTTTCGCAACATCTAAAGGAGGTTTATGTCTTCCCAAGATTAAACTTTTTGAACTGTCTTCAAGCTGAATTGCAAGGTGGTGTTATTGTCTGTGTTCTTGCTTTGTAAGAGAGAGGTCTGCAAATAAATCTTTCCAAAACTATTATCAATCAATGACAGTGGACATTGTGACCAAATAGGCAATTGTTCCTCAAATACCTTTTTTTTCCCCCTCAAGCAAAAAAAAAAAGAAAAGGAAAAGTTTAAAAAGAAAATGTAATATAATCTCGCTCAATTGCTTTCTCTCTGTGTGTGCATGGATGTGAGCAAGTATGTTTATTCTCGCTCGCTGAAATCTGAGCATTTTGTGGGGCTGACCCTCAAAGTCCTGGTTACCAAGGCTACAAATTACAGGCATCTTTCCCCACCACCACCATAGAAACAAGTCTGCCACTAACACAAATTGCCTATAATTTTCCTATTCCCATAATTCATCATTTAGACTCCCTGAGGCTGTGGTGGGATGAGTCGCAATTTTTTATTTTATTTTATTTTATATACTCTTAGAAGAAGAGGGGGGAAAAATGACTCAGGCCTCGAATGAAGAGTGCTTGTTATCATTATAACTGGAAAACTAAACTAAAATCTTTGACCCAGGGCAGGAATTCACCACGCAAGTTCAAATGATGTAGTCAACACTGTGCATTGAAGAGTTCCAGATTGGTGTGATTGCCTCCTAAAAACACCTTGTTGGGTGAATGTCATTACTGCCTCTTTCCAGATATTCAGGGATTAATGGTCAGTGACTAACCATGATGAGAGATTTGTAACACTCCAAAGATCTCAGGAAAACAGCTGCTAATTGTGCTCACTCACCCTCCCAACGTTTGCAGAGGGAAAGAGTGCAATTGACAGCAATGTCATTAGAAACAGCAACTGACAACGTAATTGAAGTGGAAGCATGTTCTAATCTCTTTTGTTCCCTTACTTGAGCCCAAACTACTTCAATTCTACGGTGTAGGAAGGAACACAGGTGCCTCAAGATGGAGAACTGACTTTGGGGGAAAGGAAGAAATAAAGCATTCAGGAGGGATTTATGGGAAAGATTAAGAGATTAAGAATCTGTTTCTCAAGATAATCTCTCTGGAGGAGAGAGGGAGGTGTGGGAAAGAAACTCAAGATAACCACACTTTGATTTTATTTAGTACAAGACCGAAACTTGGATTGCAAAATCCTGTTTTCTTTTAGATTTAGATTCAGATTTATTTTATTTGTATGCCGCCCTTCTCCGTGAGGGACTCAGGGTGGC